AAGTAATTACTCGTGGAATGTTAAGACTCAAATAATTCTGGTCATTCTATTTATGTTGTAATGTCAGTAGTGGTTTGTTGAGTTGACATGTGTCTATAACTCTGTTATATATGGTTGGACTGACACGTGTCTATAATCCTGTTAATTTCATGTAATGTTGGTAGTGGTTTGATGAGTTGACACGTGTCTACAAACCTGTAATATATTGTTTACATGACATATGTCTATAGCAAGTTTTATCTTTGGTAATGTCAGTAATGGTTTGTTGAGTTGACACGTGTCTTAAGGCTGTAGTTTGTCTAAAGCAAGTTTGATCTGTTGTAATGTCAGCAGTGGTTTGATGAGTTGACACGTGTCTGTAACCAAGTAGTAAGTTGTTGAGTTGATCCGTGTCTATAAGTCAGTAGAAAGTTGTTAAGTTGACAGTGGTCTATCAGGCTGTATGTAGTTCATGGTTGAAATGACACATCTCTATAGCCAGTTTTATCTAATGTACTGACAGCATTGGTTTGTTGAGTTGACACGTGTTTATAAGTCAGTAGAAATTTGTTAAGTTGGCAGTGGTCTATCAGCCTGTAGTTCATGGTTGAAATGACACATCTCTATAGCAAGTTATATCTCAAGTAATGTCAGCACTAAGCTGTTGAGAAGACACGTTTCTATAAACCTGAAATAAGATGTTGAGATGACACCTTTCTTCATATATAAGTCATTTGTAATTTGTTAAGTTAATAATGTCTATAAGGCAGTAGTACGTTGTTGAGTTGATACGTGTTTATAATGCAGTTTTAAGTAGTTGAGTTGACACGTGTCTTTATGGTAGCAGTAAGTTGTTGTGTTGACACGTGTCTTTATGGTAGCAGTAAGTTGTTGTGTTGACACGTGTTTGTAAGGCAATAGTAATCTTTTGAGCTTATACGTGTCTATTGGGCCGAAGTAGTTATTGTATGGACACGTGTCTCTAAGGAAGTAGTAAGTTGATAAGTTGATATGTGTCTATGCGGCAGTAGTATGTTGTTGTGTGGACACGTGTTTGTAAGGCAGTAGTATGTTGTTTAGTTGACACGTGTTTATAAGGCATTATTAAGTTGTTGAGTTGACATGTGTCTATGAGGCAGTTTTATCTGATGATATGTCAGCAGTTACAAATGTGGGAGTACTGGTTTATCACATTTTACCAGTGAAATATTAAAAACTATTCATTCTATGAAAGTGATTAAACATTTATTCAAGACAAATTAGAAACAAGTTCACCAGCAAGTAATTGCTCACAAACATTTGCTTTTCACAACAACATTGTTAATCTCTATAAATTGCCTTGATGGCTTTTTTTTATGATAATATTTGATTTAACAATTATCGTGTTATTTTTTTTCAGTTTATATTGTAATGTGGTTTATAGACCATGGCTTATTATTCGCCAAAAAAACATTCACGCGTGTAGATCATAACAACGTGTTATTTTGAAGGTTATGCGTCTTATTTTAAATCAATTTCTGCTGGTGTTCCACAAGGTTCAGTTCTTGGTCCTTTTTATTTCTTTTATTCATTAATGATATTACTCATAAAATTAACACTAATGTAGAACTTTTTGCTGATGATACGTCTCTTTATGTAATAGTTGACAAAGATGTAATTTCTCCAGCAGAAGAACTTAATGATGATCTTGAATCCATTAATAATTGGGCAAAACTCTGGCAAATCAATTTTAATTCTCAAAAAACTATTGCATTAACTGTAACTAAGAAAAATAGACAGCAACCATTACTTATATTTGATAATCAGATAATTCATTAACATAAATCTCATAAACATCTTGGCGTAGTATTTAATTCTAATGGTTCTTGGGGTGATCATATTAAATATATTTATGATAAATCATGTAAAAGATTAAATATTCTACGTATGCTAAAACATAAAATTGATAGGAAATCTTTAGAATTACTACATCTCTCCTTCATTCGTCCTACTTTAGAATATGCCTCTTCTGTCTGGGGTAACTGTAACATTGGGGAAGAAAAACTAATTGAATCTGTTCAAATTGAAGCTATGAAAATTATAACTGGCCTAAGAAGGGGTACATTTCATCATAACTTATACTATGAAACAGGTTTTGAAAAATTAAAAGATCGGCGAAATAAGCATAAACTAGTCTTTATGTATAAAATCCTCAACCAATTAACACCTGATTATTTATTTGACATCATTGAACCTTATATCAATATAGAAGTCAATCACCATCTACGGACAAAAAGAGTTTTAACATTCCTCAATCTAGAACTAGTATCTACAGCCGTAGTTTCTTTCCTGATGTCATGCGCCTATGGAACAATCTCGATCAGTCTGTCACTTTTTCTCATTATCAGTTCTTTTATAAAGAAAATAACAAAATTCAAACACCTCCCAGGAACATTTCTGAAGACTTCATCACCTGTAATCCAAACTAAATATGTTTTTGTGTTAATTACGTAAAAGCGCTAGCAATTTAAATTTTGATAAATTCAATGATCACTTGATAGTTGATCCATCTTGCTCTTGTGGCGCATCTTGTAAAAATGCTGAACACTATTTCTTCTTCTGTCCACTTTATACTAACTATAGACATTTCATAACTGACATCACTAATAATTTTGGATATTCATCTGTTGGTCTACTTACATCTAGTAATGCTTATCTATCTTCTGATGATAATTTATTTATTCTCTCAAAAGTTCAAAATTACATTTCTGCTATTAACATATTTAATTAGAATTAGGACTGTTGTCATTTTATATTTTATATTTTATATTTAATTACATGTATTTTGATATATATATATATATATTTATAGATTATTTATTTATTCAATCTGCTTTTTGAGTAAGGGATTGTGTGTGTGTGTGTGTGTGCGCGCGCGAATGCAAATTCATATATGTGTGTATGTGAGTGTGTGTGTGTAAGTTTTTAAATGTCATCGAATAATGTTTCTTTTTCTTTCTTATGATTATAACTTGGTTGAATGTTCTAGCCTGTATGTTTGTAAGTGTATATGAGTGTGTCTTGATATGTATTAAATTCATGCTTTGTCCATCTATACCGGATAGGAGAATACGTATATAAGCTAAGACTGTTGTCTCGTCCAATTGTTCAATGGTTTTGTCCAATAACATTTGTTGAAATCTAAATCATTACCTGTGCTTAAATGACTATCTATCTTACCTTTATATAAGAAAATATCTATATCTAACTCTTTTCATGTATCTTTAATCATGCGTTGAGATCCGGTCATTATTTACTGACCATTGAGAAATTCTCAGGTATATTGAAGATACTAAGATATGTTTCAAGCAGTCTGTATTGTGATAAGATTGTAAAAAAGTTCACTAAGCACGACCAGTATAGCCTTTGTGTGACCTTTCGATGACTAGTGCTGTCATCAGATTTTCTGATGAAGGTGACGGAGTACGTGCCGAACTACACTGGTTGTGCTACATGAACCGTTCTACAGTCAGTACTTACACAACCTGAAGAAATTGATTAGAAATGTCGTGTTGAGGATAATAATGATCTCCAAACAATTTTATTCAATTTGGATACTTTTCACAACAGATATCAAGTCTTTAGGAACTTAATTATCAGTAAATAGACGAAAAAAGGAATCACCCATTTGGATATTTAGTGTTCCCATGCAAAATTTCCGCAAACTTATAACGATTGATATCATTCACATTTTGAAAAACGTTATCACATCATGAGCATTTAAGTAAAACGTGTGGTTTGTATTCAACTTTTAAACATGTTTTATCTACCTTTTCTAGGCCCAAATCACCCCTTCTTGTGTTGATGGACCGTTAAGAATAAAAAATAAATAATAGCCTTCAACTACATTTTAGTTTTACAATAACACTATATTTTTAGCATCAGGATTTTATTTACTTATTGTAAGGCCTGTTTCGTTGGCTAATGGTGAAGTTTAAGAACCAAAACCAGACATTTAGGTTCTGTGTTCTTTATTCAGGGTATATTTTACATAAGACTCAGTTGTTATAGTAAGTTTATACTTGTTTGTATGGTTATGCAGTGTAGTATATTTCCTCTCGATCATTATTCAAAACATTACCAAAAATAACGGCTTACTATTAAACTGTACGGTAAGTGGGACGATTTCGACTTTTCGAACGTGATCTTTCCATTTCTTGATACATTTGTAGTTATATTCCTGCTTTCCAAACCTTAGGTGTTTACCTGTCGTAGTTGATTCGGTATTATGGAGCTTGCTCCGAATGTCGTGCTTTTCCCTGTGGTCCCCATCATAATCATATTTGGAAATATACTATTTCTGTGTGTGATATGATGGTGTATTTCTTTTATTATGCCCCTTAATGTGTCTTGTTGTTTGGTAGGCACTACTCTGGTTCTCCCAATGGTGATGTAACATTATATTGATTTGACATAGATGTACAAGGCGGATGTCGTCGATGAATCCGAAGACGCTGAACCTTCCGAACACCTGAATTATTGTCCTTGTTCTAGCGCCTCCATATCAATATTTCATGTGTTCATATTTTCCCTAGTTTACATCGAATTTGAGTTTTGGTTTACTTTGTTGTTGACACTTGGATAGTCTCTTGTTGTGGTTTTCAGTAAACATAGTTCCTGTCATAACACAGGGAATTAAGCCAACCCTCCCTTCAAAAACTTGTTGTACAATTTCTTATTTTTTCTCTCCAAAATATATGATGTTCCTGTGCAGTTCTGGTTGGAGATTGTAAAGGGGTTAGTACTGGTAATTGAAGCAATAATTTCAGTTTTTTGTTAAATGGTTGAGAGTGATGAAAGCAAACATGTCAGTTAGTATCAATGGTATGAGAGACCTTGATATGATACTTAATATTATAATCTTTCATACAAATGTCACAGAAAGCTGTTAATATTGAACCCAATATAATTCTGTATATGTATTGCAGTTAACAGTATACATACGCATAGATAAATCTCAGGTTGCAGATTTTATCTTTCAGATAGAAAGACACCAGTGCATAGATATCACTCGGAGTCCCTCAGAGATTCAAGGAGATTAGCCATGTGAGCAAACAGCTGTCAATCATTTGGGATGTGGATTCCTGGTCTGCCGCTTATTGCTTGGTCTGAAACAATGACCCACGGATAGTTGACTGTATACATAAACTATGGCTTCTGAGTCACACAACCGTGACGACTGGTTTCACAAATCAGATTTGGAAGAATATTGTGATGACACTGATATCGACATTCTAGACCAAAGGTACCTTGAATATGGGCTGGATCTTGACGAGAAGTTTTCAACACCTCTTAATGGTATAGACGAAAATAAGATAATTTACTCATTTTCGTCCAAAACAACTGATACAAACATAGTTAAACTATGTAAATCGGAGCCAGAGAGATATAAAAGATGTACACTCGATATTGTTGGTGTCAGGGAGGCTGTGTGCACCCCACTAGACGAAGATCACTATCCTGCGGAGAAGATTTATATTTCTGGGAGATCGAAATGTGGCCAGGCCTTCAATGAGGATATTGTAGTTGTCGAAATTATACAAAACTGTTATGGGAACTCACAATCCGATTGGCCAAAACGAGTTGAGGGGAGGGTTGTAGCGATTGTAGAAAGGACAAGATATAACGACATCGAACATCCTGTATTTGTTTGCACTGCAGCTGATATGGAAAGGAGGATAATGTTTCCGTCGTGCAAAACAGTTCCAAAAATATACATCTCAAACAGGCGTGTTATGAAAGAAAGGAAACAAGAAGAACAGTATCTGATAGAAACATACAGATACAACGAACTCGAAGGCTACTTAATGTTCGACAAATTTTTCAAAATCAAACCTGAAAAAATAGAAAGTCTGATTTTTCTTGTCGCCTTTCTTAGATGGGATGTCGTCTGTCAATACCCTCTTGGCGCAGTCATCGGAGTTGTCGACGTTAATAGTTCTAATATTTTGCGCATCACAGAGCTTCGGCACCGGATTCCTTCACGCTATAAACCGGAAACTATGCGGGCAGTACATGATATCATCAAAGAAGAGAGCAGAAAGCAAGAATCCTCTGATGTTGACGACACATTAGTGTTTACCATCGATAGTAAAAATACGAGAGTAAGGGATGATGGTTTTAGTGTTGAAGGTATACCAAATGCTGCAGATACAGAAACTGAAACTGCATACAGAGTTGGTGTGCATTTAGCAGACGTTTGTAGACTTGTGCAAAAAGATGACCCAGTTGATCGGGAGGCAATGGAAAGATGTCGGACAAACTACGCTGGTATGGGAGCGAAACCTTGCCATATGCTGCCGGAGCCTTTGAGTACTAATATGTTGAGTCTGATACAAGGTAAAACGCGACATGTATTCTCTCTGTATTTTGAAATTAACAAAGATGGAAAGGTACTGAAATACCCTGAACCACAGAGTATAAAAAGACGTGTGATCAAGACAAGAACAAACCTTTGTTATGAAGAAGTACAGAACGTGTTGTTAGGAGACAAAGATATATATGTTCCGGGGTTGTCAACAAAGTTAAAAATAATGTATGACCTAGCAACAAAGCTAAGAAATAATCGGCTGAAGAGAGCCCATTTTGCCTTTCCTGGAAATGCTTTACTTGGATTAGAGGAAGACAAGGATAATGCCATTCACGAAGCTCATTATCTTGTTGAGGAATTCATGATTCTGACAAATGTTGCGGTTGCAAATATTTTAGAAGATGTTTATCCGAACAACATTCCACTACGCACCCATGCTTACCCCGACGCTCAACAGACAAGTGCTTGGTTGGGAGAACACAACGGGATTGCAGATATCATCATGGATCTCCAAGATCGTGACTTGCCAGATGAACCACATATTATTGGACTTCAAAACGGTATCAGAAAAGAAAAGATAACAATTGACCGACGAATTTGGAATGAACTGCGTAAGGCTTATGCAGCGAAAGATCACAGGAGACTGAAAATACTTCTTAGAACGGATGATCACCATCCAATGCAAAGTGTCGCATTACAGAAGTGGAAACTATTCCAACGTAAGGCAAAATATTCTCGATCGCTAAATGGCACGGATAAACTCCATTTTGGTTTGAGAGTAGACCTTTTTACACATGCTACATCTCCTATTAGAAGATATACAGATCTGGTGATTCAAAGGCTACTCCTTGCGTCAATCGAAAATGAAACTTACCCACCATACACTGCACTGGAAATAGATGACATATGTGATCGATCAAACGAGGGAATACACAGAGAAGAAAGATTTTACCAGAAGTACCGAACGCACGTGCTAGCTGCTCATCTGAAGAATTCGAACGCAGCCAAAGTGTCCGCTATCGTTGTAGGATTGCTAGATCAAACGACAGTTGAGCTCATAATCCTAGGATACAAATTTACAGAAGAACCATTTCATTTACGATTTAATCTGCTAGGACTGTGCTCCCAGCCGGAACTACAGCCTCTCGACGGAAAGACCAGACAAGTGATAGCAAAATGGAAGAAACCTATCTACGATACATGTCGCATAGCCTTTCACTTGAGAAAGGAAATCCAGAAAAACTGTTTTACTATTGACCCGAATGGTAACTCTGTCTTCGTGTCGTACACCGACTGGGTTTCTTTGTTACAAGCTTCCATTGATGATACATCGAGCGAATCGGAACAATTGTTTATTCGTCAAACCGAACCACAACCTGAAAGCATCCGAGGCAATGCAGACGACAATAGGTTTTACGCTCCAGACGTATGCTCTGAGGTAAAAAAGCATGAATATATACTTAAACATCTGTGTTCCTTTGAAAGGATTTTTGAAGTCGGACAAACGCTAAAAGTTCAGATAAGTGGTCAGCAAATGGATGGTTGTCTTGTACCCACAATTCAACTGGTATATGTTACAGAAACCATTGCGTTTTGCCTCCAACACGTGGCAGATCCCATTCCTTGTCTTTCGAGATATACCACAACGCCAACAAAGAAAACCTACAAAGATGACGGAGACTATCTCAGAATTTGGATTCCAATACTGGAAATGGAAGAGGTCACAAACATCATACGCAATGAAGATTCTCCTCTTGTGAAAAACGTCCCAGTGACATTTGATACAAAGTTGACTGGGACATTCACTCTGAATGCCAGATTCTGTAAAGAACGGAACATTGATTTGGGTTTTAAGAAAAAATCCAAGGAGGACAATATCGCTGATGAAGACGATGCAGAAGATGACTTTGACGATGATGATGAACATGATGTTCCATTCCATCCGGTCGTATGCTGTGACTTCCTTTGTATTCGTCTGCCATGCGAAGACAAGAATGTCAGTAACCAAACGTATGATTGGGTAGGCCATGCCAGGACAACAAAGACAAGACGACTAGGGGCAAAGACCCGCGCTAGGTATGAAATAGGATTCGATCTTCACAACTGTCCAGACATACCCGACAAAGGAAAGTACCTGTGTACTTTGGAACTGCTCACGAAGTCCAGTGTTCACAGGTAAGTTAGTGAGAGATTTCTTTCTAACTTAAACGGTAACAGCTGACATGGTATCAAACACATACCTACATGTCAGAAAATGTGGTGTGTAGGAGACCCAATAATGTTTCACTTCAAGAACTTATATCACATGAGTGTTTACAACAACATTATCTGCTCTATTTGTCATGTTCTTCTTTATTTAAATATTGATGAAAAGTCATTTAACCGTTTTTATTTATCAAAATGTATCGACCGTCAGTGATATTACAAGAAATGTTATTGGATTTTGCTTTTATTTTTCCTATCAATAGGCGTGCAGAAGAAACTATTAAAGGTCTCCGGGATGCGACACAGTTAGCAAAAGCAATTGCTCTGGGAAGGAAAATTCCAGAATTAGGTAAGTATTTTCATAAATAATTACTTGAAAATAATGTGTCCCGCCGAAGATATCACGTTTTATTTCTTACGATAGTACCAAAGGTCAGCACTTACTCTTTCAAGACAAATAAATTACAGTATATTAATGCATTGGTTTTCTTTTCAATTAAATTCATACCCAAATTCTTGTTGGTGAATACTACTCACTTAAATTTTTGACCGGTTAAAATGTTCAGTTCAGGATAAAATTTGTTGATGGTGAATGGATAAATTCCCCCAGGCCAATTTGAGGGCTATTTAATAATAATATTACAACAAAGCTTATATATCTTGTATCTTGTATCTTGTATCCGTATTTCAAGCGTCTGTTTTGGTCGTATGGAATTTGTGTGTTCCGGATTCTATTTGGAAACCAGATTTTCGAAGCTATAACGCACAGGCAAATACTCAGATCACTATATCTCCTGAAAGTTGATCAAAATGTTTCCTCGTCTCAGAGATTTTGTTCAAGGAACCATTATTAAAAAATGAATTTAAATTAATCTTTTCAAATATCTTGAATCAAATTTGTTTTAGAGCGTTACCATTTACATGCCGTAGAGAGTCTACCGCGGGATATCAATGAGCCAAATGTTGATATTCCAAAGAATAATGCGATGCAGCAAGAAGCGATTGATGCAGCCCTCAGGTTGTCGTTCAGCTTAATACAGGGACCACCCGGTATGTCGTCTATTTCCATTTGTTCTGTTCCATTTGATTGCCATCTTCTGATATTGCATTTGAATATATTTAACATGATTCTTCCCTGATTTCAGGTACAGGGAAGACGTTTACAGGTCTCAAACTGATATACCTATTTCACCAACTCAACAAAATGGCTGAGGGAGTCGGACGAGAGAGAAGACAAATACTTTTCTGTGGACCGTCCAACAAATCTGTGGATCTCGTCGCTAGTGAGTTTTTAAGTATTTCTTTTTGATTTGTTTGTTTATTTATTTATTTATTTTGTGAGAAAATCACAGTACGCATTTTCTGTACATGACGTCATTGTTGGACCTGTATATATTGGTAAGTGATGGTGATATTTTGCATATTTGACATGAGCATAATTCGTTACTGTTTAATTAGCTGGCTAATTTTGTGTCAGTGTTTCAAGAAGCCATTTATTCTGTATAGGCATATCTTTCCTTTCGTTGTGAACGATTTGGTATATATACTTGTTTATTTTGGACATTACATATAATATACCAACTCCACTTGTGAAAAGGAAATATCAACAGTTTTGCCCGGAAATTATTCATGATCGAAAAGAAAAAACAAAAATCATGATTTCTTTATAAAAACAAGAGCTGTTGGAGAACAGCATGGCTCGCCTATTAGTGATTTATGTTGAAAAATAGCAAATATCAATAGAAACCAATGAACAGTAAAATCTCGATAAAATGTCCGTCATTTCATTTACCACCTCACTTACTGCCAACATATTTTCAGGTCCCTTAATTATGTTTTTCTTAAGAATTCCTTACACGTTTCCCTCAATTTATCGCCAAGCCCCTTTATAATGCCAACATTTGTTTGAGCAAATGATGGCAAGTCCAATTAAGCTGTTTTTGGCCCATAAAATATGAAAATATGGTTCAGCACATTGCTTACACTCCATATAAATATTTCAACCTTATAATCGACAAATGTGTATTGAGTGTGATGATCCAACACGGTCTAAAAAAACTTGCCTAAAAATGTTAACCTCAAATTTAACTAATTTCAATTAAGCTGTGTATGGTCCCTAAAATATGAAAAATGGTCAAGCATATTGCTTACACTCGATATAAATGTCTTAAACTCATGATAGACAATTGTGTATTAGTGTGATGATCCAACACTGTCTGGAAAAAAAACTTGTCCAAAAACTTTAACCCCAACAGGTGGGACGCCGACGCCGACGCCGACGCCGGGTGACTACATTAGCCTCTCCCCCCCCCCCCCCCCCCCCCCCTATTCTCCGGATAGGCGAGATATTGATATTGTATTATGAAATCATGAATACTTCATGTACTGAAATTAATATTTATTATTGTAACAAAAGGAAAAGGCAACAATTTGAAAAGTGTACAATGTGTTTTTACTTATAAATAAAAATGCAAGCAAAGGAGGAAAACAAGATCGCCTTAAAGGAAAATGTATTCGTTTGCGAGGAGACATGATCGCGCGAAAAAGAAATTAACGCTTTAGAGCAATATGTTCTATTTTAACGTTAAATTATTTACGTTATTGGACCAGTTAAGTATAATATAATATATCATATGCTTACGGTATGTGAAAGGTTTCAGAAGTGAGATTTCATATCACCAGCAATGTCTACCTTGTGTTACGTGGTTTTGTCATCACGTACCGTTACGACCTGATGGTAAAAGGCAGAATAACCAGACCAGTGAAACAAATTAAAGATGATCGTAGCACATGGATGACCATCACGGCATACTGGCATACTATTATGTAAATTAGTTCTTTATTAAGTGTCCTTGATGTTCAGACAGGAAATGTTCTGTAGCTATCAAACTAATTTGCCTGATTCTACGGAAAGTTACTTCTTAGCCAGATACAGAATAAAGTGAAAGATATTTGTATTTAGTTTGGTAATATATATTTTGTTTTGGTGATTGATGATAAGGTTATACATTAATATCTATCTATGTTTTGTTGTGTTGTATTGTTCTATTTGGTTCGATATTGTTTTAGGATGGATGAAGGAAAGGTTCATGAACTGTCCGAAGGCGCCCCGGTTGGTGCGGTTTTACAGTCAGATTTATGAATGTGTGGATTTCCCTGTCCCCGGTCGCATAGAATCCGCACGACGGTCTCTGAGAAATGCTAAACCGGATCCTTACCTGACGAGGAACCATGTTGTCGTTCACTATTTAATACGGAGAGAAGGAAAAACATATGCTGATGAAATACATCAGTTTGACGAAAAGTTCCAGGGTCGAAAATACGACGTGACTTTTGATGATGTGCAATCGTATTTCAAGATAGTGAGCGAAGCAACAAAAGAAGTTTTGCAAAATTGTGACGTCATATTTTGCACAACTGCCATGGCTGCCAACCCGAAGCTGTTAAAAGCAACCAAGGGCAAAATATATCAGTGTATCATAGACGAAAGTGGAATGTGTACCGAACCTGAGACGATGGTACCAATAATAGCTACCAGAGCGGCGCAGGTCGTGCTGATAGGAGACCACAAGCAGCTTCAACCAATTTTACAGTCAAGGGCTGCAAAAGAACTTGGACTTGTCAACTCTTTATTTGAGAAATATGCCGGTCGTACAACAACACACCTAACGATGCTGAAGCAACAGTACCGCATGGTAATACATAGATCCGTATTTTGGTAGAATCTGTAATATTTTCTGACAAAACATTTGTACAAGACATTTTTTCTTTTCATGATTTATGAACATACATAACTTGCCTTTAAGACAATAGTTCCATATTTAAAGGGGTCGGGCAGAAGGAGCTGAATTTTTAGGTCCGGGTAGAGTTAAAGGGGGGGGGGGGGGTTAGGGATGTAGGTTAGCTTTTCGGCCGTCCTAAAAGTTCGTCCGGGGCATATCTTCTAAAAGTTTTTACATGCAGCAACCGGATTTGATCTGCAAGTACATAATATTGAGATGGCTAAGTGTCAAGCACAAAAAAAGATCAGAGTGACGTGACCTATGGTCTGACCTTAGACTTTAGCCTTTGAAAACAATTTGTCTGAGACATATCTCATATACGATTACACGTGAAGCAACCAAGTGTGGTATGCAAGTACCTCTTACGATGGCTGAGTAGTATGCACATTAAGTAGGTCAATGTGACCTTTGGCTTGACCTATAGCATTAACCTATGAAAAAGGTTGTACTGTCCGTCATTCTTTCTATACTGTTTCACCTGGAATTTTAATTGCTGTTGCACATACATGATAACCGCTGTGGCGTCTGATTGGTCAGAAGATGGCCCACTGTTTTCTCTGGAACTACACAGCAGATTCCAATGAAACTTTGTATAAGCATGTGTAGATGAGTAAAATCTGCAACTGTGCATCGAGATGGCTTTCACGGCATCTGTTTGGTCAAAATTAAGATATTGGCCAATTTCGATCACTTTATATATAGGTAATACGCCGTTAAAAGAGTACAGTGTCTTAAATTAGCCTCATTTTCGACTGTTGGGGTAGTTGTTTTTACTTTTGTAACGGCCGCTGTTACAATTAGAACTTGATGGCAATATTTAGCTCTGCCTCCTAACTTTACTTGATTGATTTTGCCCATTAGTTTTAGATATTACTCACTGGTAAGGTCAAACTATATTGCAACTGCCATATTGTTTAAGAGCGAAAAAGAGACGACCATTTTCAGTTTTAGAGAACATTAGCAATCTGTCAGAGAAATTTTACTTCAAATAAACATTCTTTTTTAAATTATAAATATAATTTCATATTTTGTTTGTTTATAATAGAATCCATGGATATGTTCCTTCCCATCTAAAGAATTTTACGGAGACAAGCTAACGACAGACCAAAAGTACACGGCTGGTTGGCTAGTGAATCGTCCATTGAAAATCTGGAAGAACAATAATCCAAAGAACCATATTCCGATCGCTTTCGTACATGTTGAAGGGAAAGAGGTCACGTTAGAGGTTTCCACAGAAGAAGGAAACGAAAAATCAAAGAGCAACCTAGAGGAAGCTAAACAAGCCGTAAGTTTGATCATGTGGTTTGAACTAATCAGCAAATTTTTATATCAAATTGATATCAAATTCTGTATCAGACAAATTTATTTTAAATTAAATATAATCCCGAAACAATTTTATGAATTTACTTGAATTGTTCTATCTGTTCATCCGTCTGCAGACACAGTTTTGTACCGAGTACAGATATGCTGCTTCAATTACATTCTAAATTGTTTTTATATTTTCGGTGATAGCCATTATAGGATGGCGATAATGCAAACGGTATACTTCAGCCTCGACAATAGCCACTGTAGTTTTGAATTGGAATACTGTATCTTATAAACACATAGAAGCATAAAATTGACTACTCACACAGTTCCAGCTCCTGTTCTCAGCTAAAGAGATTCGTGTTATATAGGCTGGTTGTTCTATTTATCGTCGATATTGTGTTATAAACACTTGGAATACAAAGTAAGTAAACGCATATCTACTATGTCCAGGCTATGATATTTCAGTGAGATGACGCTCTAAATTGGCCCATAATTTACCCCATAACTATGGAAACAATTTGAATATGACCTCATGTGTAAGGAAGTCTAAAACCCCAAACCTAACAAATATGAATGTTAGCTCATAGTTCAGGATTATACAGCAACGGTTTACATAGTAACAGTAAAACAAGTATAATACATTGACTGCTTTTCCCTGTTTGGCAATACATTGTCACTAAATATTTAGTTTGAAAGCTTTTTTGAACACAATCACATTAGAGAATAGAAAGTTTTTTAAAAATATAGATAAATGATAAAAATATAGAATGCTATATGGATAACATATTAAAAAATAGTTTTCTTTGTTTTGTCAATTGTTTGAATAGAGCATTGTTTCTTTTTAAAAGCTTAACGTAGTAAATACACGGTGAATCTTACTATATTGATGCAATCAATATTCTTCCTCATCCTCGTATTTTCTGGGATTCGCTCCCTTTATTTTCTGCATCTCTAGACTATGTCATGCCAAAACTGAAGGCTGTGTGCGCGCAACCCCAGTCGATGACACAATAAGACTAGTTAATCCTTTGATGTACATAAAAAAATAACTGACTTTGAAGTCGGGTGTAGCCTGTTTGTGTCTTCAAAGGACAGGTATCAGCCTAGTGATTTTTCAGGGTTTTTTCACCTGAAACCAATCTAATAGCTAACTGCGTGCCTTCGATTTGGTCATGACATTATTCAGGGTTGCAGAGAGCGTAAGTATTTCCGGCCACTCATATCGCTTTGTCTACTGTTGTTGTTCAGTTTAAGCCTCCGGGAAGTAGAACATATGAATAACAAATGTGGGTAGGCTTGTTTATTGCAAACAATAACACATTTGTCTTTGTCTGATAAAGAGGATAGCTCGGGTTTGTTGCGCACTTGTAATACATGTAATTTCAAATATGATACTTATCTAATCTCTGGTACATAAATCATGTTTTAACATCTGAATACTTCTCCAGACCAGGGCACCGTTTCTCAAACCTAATTAACTTAGCTACACTTAACGGACACAATTTAAGCCGGTATATTTAATATGAAATTCAAAACTGATGTTGTATGTATAAGGATTCATAATGACAAGAAAGCAAAACAAAACGTAAATTTTTAATTACTTCATGATGAAGGCACATTAGAAAATATCCAGCTACATGTAATACGATTTTGAACAACCCGGTCCAGATATAAAGATTGTATGGTGGGTTTTTTTCAATTCAGGTGGAGATCTTTGAACATCTCGTAAAAAGAGAAAAACTAAACGTGGCAGATATACGTATTTTGTCACAATACAACGCCCAGAGACAGCTCATACATAGGAAGATAACTGAAATAAAAACTGAAGAGAAAATAGCATACCCCGACGTCAGGGTGGACACCGTCGTGGCCAGTCAAGGTTTGTCTGAACGAACAACTTCACTGCTAAATAATTAAACCACTAAATGGAGTAGTTTTACATTTGATTCTTATTATGTTTCTCACATTTTACATTTTTGTTAACCTTTCGACGGTTATGGACGTTGATTGATAATAATGAATGTTTTTGGATGATTTCATTGGTTAGGAGGAGAGAGCGACTACGTCATCCTCAGTACCGTTCGTTCCATGCCTAGGCCACTGATCGAGCATCGTCCCGCTCTAGGATGGAAGCTACGGCATCTGGGATTTATCACAGACAGACACCAAATCAACGTTGCGCTAACGAGAGCTAAGAAAGGACTATTCATTATCGGTAGGTACTGTTATATCCAACAAAAACAATTTAGAATACATGTATCATTAGAAAATATAGATACTAGATTTTGTATAGGAGTGGCCATATCCATTATTTCATAAACTGTATAAAAAGTATACCAAAGATGATAATAGATATAAAATAACAATAGTCTACGGATAACAGAAAAGTAGAAAATGTTTGACTAGGAAGGAAAAACAAAGAGCTATTTCTTATCGTCGGCTTCGTTCCGGTGTTATTGTTTTGTTTAAGCTTTCAAATAGACAAATTAAACACTTTAATTGGATAATCATACTTTGGCAGAAACAATGATATGCATATGAAGATCGTTTTGTATGCATTTAATTTAAGCTGTACCGTACCTATCCTATATGTTACATACAAAACAAATCATAGATTTGATATTTCATTGGTTTGAACATATGTATTGAGTTGGCAATAATGTTTTTTGGATTGCAATAGTGGACTGATCCAACGACTTATTACTGTTTATTTCAAAACAGACATATCCACTTTATGTGTAAATTATAGTACGATATAATTTTAATATGCAATATGAAGACGTTTGAATTGTCTTGCAGTTATAAAAATGTGCAGATCATGGTTAACAGTGTATGACACGTTTTACAACTGGGAATTAATTAAACTATATATTACGAACTTGCCAATTTTTTTTTTTATGATCTCCTCATTCGTAACCTGCTTATGGATTTCAAATACCACAACTACTTCGCTTCCTACAAGGGCCTGAGTAACATGATCTTCTGGAAAGATACGCCCTATTATAAAACTAGAAAAAATAAGGCATGACTTTCTTCATGAAAGACTTTTGATTAAACACATTATGTTGAAGAATTGTTGATGGTAGTCAGCACGACCTGCTATATCCAAATACGGAATTTCAGTTTCTTTTCCACGATGAAATATATCATTAGTTACTCAATACCTTCCCCAGTTTAACTGGCTACATCATATGTAGTGCTATGCGTGGCGAAGGAAATGCTTTCTAGGTTTTGCTTGGGTTAATATGAGTTGGTTTATGGATTTGATGTGTTCTCAGTTCCAGTTGTGTTTTCGAACAACATTGATATACGGTTCTTTCTCCTATGTTGTTTTCGTGGTATATATATGTGTATATTATATTTTATTCAATAACATGAATTAACTCTTATTTGTAAAATTTCATTGTTTTACGATTTCTGTTGACAGGGAACAAACATTTGCTTAGATGTGATAAGACTTGGGAAAATCTACTGAATTTCTACGAAAACAATGAGCGAGTTTTTAACGACTTTCCGCTGTGATGAACTGTGAAATCTTGGAAACGGTGGTATAAGTGACTCAAAACTGTTTATATTGAATAGTTTCCTGTTAAATGCTGCGTCTGATCAGTCAGGGAACATTATGATAAAGTAGCATCCATTTCCTCAAACCAAAACAAGTATAGTTTCAACTTTGAGAAGACACATGTATTTTATTTGGAAGAGGACTGCGTATATTATCTCTCGTTAGATCATTATCATTTGTACTTAAATACCATCAAACATGTTCAAATATTTTGAGTATTTTACTTATTAGTTTCTAGATCTAGTTTATAGTAATCAAAGAGTGATAACTCACAGTATTATACATATGCTTTCATCCTGTCTTTATCATTCATCATATATGATTAATATTCTATAACTATCTGGTGGTATATCCCCTTTGTTGTTTAGGGTCAGCCGCTCCCGGACACACAGGTTCTTTGTTGAACCACGCGCCTGGTCAGAGGGTGTGAATCCTACACGAGCACACGATATGTTCGTCATGCTAATTGTAAAAGTGGACTTTTTTGACTGCGGTGTGGAAACTAATTGTGAAATCTATATATTCTGTACAACTATAATCTTTGTAATCTATAAATAGATATTCGCGGAAATGTTGTTGTTGATTTAATGTTAGTGTTTGTTGGTATATCGCCTTGTTTTGTCAGTAGGTGTTAACCTTCCTGTACACATAAAGTATTCGTCATACCTGTGTATTGTTAAATATGTTAAGTGCATTTTCGTTAGATTTAGAGTGAATCACTATCCGTGAGATTATTATAATTTATTAACATGACTCGTGTGTCGATCACGAACTTAATATCTTTCTTTATTAATTTAAAATCCACGCAAATAAAAACAATCGCGAATATAAATACTCACAAAGGATATGGAAGCTTAGGAATAATAAACGCCTTAAAGTTCACGGTGTTCAATAGAGGGACATTTAACAGCGTATTCCACGTATCTAATAGGACGCATTGTCTGTTGTGGTGGTAAAAGAGACAAATATGACTGGTTAGCTCCTATTTTTGTCAATCATACAAGAATACTGAATGCAATTCATATTTTACTCTATATCGTGCATTGAAAACAGTTGTTGTATGTAAAGGATATATGATTTTATTGATGTATATAATAGATTATTTGTAAATAAATTATGTCTGCAAAAGACGTGAAGGATTTGTATTACATATGTACAATATCAAATATGTTTTTATATATAACATTTATGATATATTTAATGAACTGAAGCAGAATTTAGACAATATTATATATAAAATATATCTATAATTATAGAATAAAAACATAAATCTTTCAGATCATCCGCTAGGCCTTTCTGCCTTCTAGGACTTCTTCAGGCGGATTGATGTTTCATATTATATATAATCTATAATTATATATGGATATGAATAACTTGTAGAAGTTGTAAATATTCTTAAATATAAGATACATTTATAGAGAATATGTGCCTTTTTAATCATCATTAATATTGTACATATATTCAACATACAAATTAACTGTATTTTTCTTCATGTTCAGCATAATTGTTATTAAGTGAATAACATGCAGCGGAGTTAGTATAATAATTATCTGACAAAAAAGGTGTGTGTCTGTGTAGGTGTCAATGTGTATGTGTGTGTGTGTGTGTGTGTGTGTGTTTGTGAAGGTGTCAATATGTGTGTGTTTGTGTAGGTGTCAATGTGTGTGTGTGTGTTTATGTTTGTGTAGGCTTAATCTGTGTTTGTGTGTTTGTGTGGGTGTTAAGCTGTTTGTGTGTCGATCTCTGTGTGTATTTGTGAAGATGTCAATCGGTGTGTGTGTTTGTGAATGTGTCAATCTCTGTGTGTGTTCGTAAAGGTGTCAATGTCTGCGTGTGTTTGTAAAGGTGTCAATCTCTGTGTGTGTTTGTGAAGGTGTCAAAAAGGTGTCAATCTCTGTGTGTGTTTGTAAAGGTGTCAAAAAGGTGTCAATCTCTGTGTGTGTTTGTAAAGGTGTCAATTTGTGTGTGTGTTCGTACAGACAAGGTCTTTGCCCTTCATTCGTTGGTCTATTAAATGGATATATGATAGATGCGTCTTATGTGCCATTTTAATCATCACATTGAAATGTACATGTACATGACAAAAATACAATAAGCAAATAAGTATGGTGTCAAACATTATTTGACATAAATAAAATAAAACTTTCTTTTCCCTGTTGTAACACAATTTACCCATCACAGTAGATTTGCTACCCAGTACCTATTAAAAAAAGTAATGATTTTCCAGGTAGTATCCGCGAAAAAAAGAAAGATACAAAATTAGTTTTTGTACATTTGAAAAATATTTTTACTATCTATGTTGTCAGATTTGAAAATATAATGTGATCACGATCGTTGAAATCATATGACAGAAATTTGATCGTATGCAATTTTGTAATATAGTAACATGAATTTCCCCAGTTGTTTATGCAGAATTGAGAAGTTGAAAAAAGTTTTTTTTATTATTTTTGTATTATTCATTTAATTTCTTAAGGGAGGTCTGCATTTGTTATCCAGCAAGCAGTCGTCTTTTACAGAGACATACGTTGAAGATATCATACACATCATATATATTAACATATATAATATCATATTTTTAGTTATTGTATTTTTATAATACATATTACGCACAATTTATATGTGTGATCCAATATTTTCAGTTTTCGTATCGTCATAATATGTAATACGGTTAGTTTTTGTATTTTTATCTTGTGCTTTAATGAAACTAATGCATGTATCTATTTTTGTATATGTTTTATAATACTACTTTTTATTTATGATTCAAATGTTTACTTTACTAAGATTCTTTCATGAATATAAGGAAATATATCTTAAGATTTAAAACATTTGTGACTATTTTTAATCACAGTCCGCATTGCATACTCCTGTCACAATATCCCCCTATAATCAACGCCCCTGGTGGATTCCACCTCCCCTCTATGCGCCTATTCTTTTAACCTCTTGTGTACTTACTCCACGTTGACTGTGCCCTTATTCCCCTGAACAGTTTATCCCATTTAATTTAGTTGTCAATATTTTGAAATTGTAACGAAATATCCAACCTTTAAAACAGTTCTTACTTCGTTACTACGTCCCTCAAATCATTCTTACCTTAAACTAAGTCACTAAAATCGTCCCAAGAAAAGGTATTAAAATCAGCTAAGCGACCTTGATGTTAAAGTAATGATGGTAGAATTCCGAAAATCTATTGGATATTTCGTTCACAGTATCAAAATATTAAGTATCTTAATTAATTTAGTTGGATAGACTCGTATTATGCTATATAATGATGTTTTGATAAGTTCTAAAGGTACTCGAGTATGTCACCGCCCTCCATACAGACATATGTGTTTTCCTCCTACAATCCCGATGTTAGGTGTTTAAAAGATGTATATGTGTCTATGTTTATATTATATATTAATATGAATGATGATTGGACTGTAGGAATGGTTTTTATGTTGATAATGCCTTACTAAACTTTAAGAACAAATCGAGTAAAATTATCAAATCATAGTATATTTCTGATTTTCATAAAGGTAAGGTGTTGTACTCCTAATGGCTGTGATTTGAACTAAGATAATCAAAGACTATCAGCTCCCTTTTTTATTTAAGCTCTTCTTATCATTCGGCAGGCAATTCATCAGCAAAACCTTCACAGTATAGAATTGGAAAGCGGGATGGGGTTTAAAACAAAATATTAATCCATCCAGTTGTTTACAATTTTTACCCGGAATGGTTCGAACATGTTTTTTTAGGTAGCAGAGTACAGTAGAGGGTTGTGGCCATGGGTGATATTTTTGTTAAATGGCTAACCCCTGTATAATGATATGTAAAAAATTATAAAAATAAAACTGTACTAAAATTGGTATAAGCATGATGAAGTGGGCTATGTGAGCTTCACATTTGTAAAAAAGAAAGAAGATTTCTTTGGTTCGAGAATAAAATTTTGGCCATAATACGAAAGGGTGCGTACACATGAAAAGCTAGCTTTACAGGAGGTAAAATTTTGACAACAGCACACGACGCAAAATTGCAAAAAATCAAGTTCTACAATTTTACTGCGACCCAGATAATTCTGCAACCAGGTAGGTAATCTTTAATTTCAGACAGAGCTTAGGAAAAAAATTACTACTTGCGGGGGTCAAATTTTGGGTTAAAAATAGCATTTTTTGGCATTTTTTGGTAATTTTTGATGTGGTAACCATGGTTTTCACACAAGTGACATACATAGAAAAAAGAGGTTTATACACTTCTCAGTGCTTTATATGTATTGTAAATGTAATGCAGTTTACAAATATATATACATGTATACATGTGTTGTGTAGGGTAAATCCGCTGTGTTTACATTTCCTCGACATGTGCCTTGTTTATCAGAGTCGGGCCATTTCTACTGTATTCTGCTACCTTATGGTGTTATTTCACTTTATTTTTCAATCTTCTGGGTATTTTTCTTGGATCAAAGGTCTTTTTCTAATTAACTAATTTCAATAGAAATTATACTTAGTTTTGCTTTTATGCTATGGACATTTCAGCTTTATATCATGTTTATGAATTAATCAAATTCCATAGCAGACAGAATATTTACGTACCGGTAAAAGGAATTCAAGATAAGGTGTTTGAGAGTTGTACAAAGTTTCGTAAAAAAAAGGGGGTCTAATGATAACAGGAGATACAAGAGGGGTTTTGGTGCCTACTATTGTCCGATCGTCATTAGTTCGACCTTTTCTGTTCTTATCTGTTGGACTGTCGGCAGTAAATGCACCATGTGGTTAACTCAAAACGTCATACTGCTGTGAAAGACATCGCTCCTGCCGGGTCGATAACACAAAACGATAAAGAGCTACAGTGGTCAAATTCATGAGTGACTGCCTGGCGGCCCTCTTGTTCAGTTGATCACTTTCAAAATGAAATATACAGAGTTGTGGAATAGACGGGAGATATTTATGAAATGTGAGAAGAACCGTAAGTTAACTTCAGTTAACAAACTACAAACTAAGAGGAACACAATTTGAGAAGGATCCGTTACATCCTTTCCAATAAACAGAGATAATAAAACTTAAGCTGTAGCTTTTACGATGTCTGCCTAGTGTCTGCCTTTTTTCCTGACAATCGTCTAAATTTGTAAAAACAAACATGCAAAACAGAACCAAGAGAGGCACTTTTAAAAAGATCCCTTTAAAATAATTGTATCGAGAACTAGTGATTACAATAAATATATTTTACTCCCAGACGGCCGTCTGACACCAATGTTTTCTGATCAGTCTAAAAAAGAACATTTGTTTTTTTAATACAATGTAAAAAAAAAACAGCAAAATTATAAGGCGTAACTTAAAAGAAAATGTTTGATGTTCTGTTTGACTTTTTGTAATGTTTCCACGCATGCTATTGTCGCATTAAATCATTTTCATGTGAATGGTATATTCGTTTTGCCACTCGATGACACTTATATATTAAAATTCTATTTCAATGTATTAAATGTATGCTACAATTCTTGTTTGACATGTAAGTGATACATTTATTTTAAAAATAATCAATTATTTTATGCAAGTAACATCAGTGGTAAGCAAGTTATTATTTATCCATATAACAATATGCATATTCATATGTCAGGTGTATCTGATATAGAGTACTGGACTGTCATATTATACATGTACTGGCCCTAAAGTTTATATTAGGATAGAGGATGGTATATAGTCAACAAAATTCTTTATCAGCAACAGGTAAATATAAGGAATGAAACGTTAAGAGTATTCAGATGTATAATTACTATAAGTAATATATCTTCGCCAATTCCAGGTATAAACTACAATACAGGAGGATATTTAATGTTTTAACATTGAATATCATACGCATTTCATAGGTGTGGCAGGATACTGTAAAATGTAAACGTGTGCAAGGAAATTAAAGTATCGTTAAAGTATTGATTGAAAATAAAATATTCCGAAAAAGCATGCAACATAATATTTATTGATGATAGAAAGGTTGGATGCCATTTTTGTTGTCGCTCCAGATATTTTTGCCTCAGGAAAATTGTCATTTTTAACGCACCTGGCCCGGAGGACCAAGGGAGTTTATGCCATGGCGCAACGTCCATCATTTATTATTTTGTTCCCCTTTAAAAGCTTCTAGTCCTAACAGCTCAATGTACTTTGACCTCATTTAGTCT